AAAAAAAACGCATCATACTATCTACCGCAAGGTGATGTGGAAATGATAGTGTTTTCAAACTGTCATTTTCTTGATATAGAAAAGATAAAAGAAAATTATTTTTTAATATATGATTTTACGTTACAAGCTACTCACATGATCATTTATTTTTAATATAAGTGATTACTCATTTTGACTACTTATGTATGTATTTTTTTTAATAATGTCAAATGCTGATAACGCGTGCGTAGCGCGCGCCTGTATTGTTCTAGTTCATAAAGAAAAGAGGACCGCCGATAAAATCGGTGGGGGTGGTGTGGAGGGCCTCTCTAACTCGTTTGTACTAATTACTAATAACTATATATTTAGTAAGAACGGGCTAAGTTAACATAAAGAAAACAACTTCCTAATTCCATTTTTATACAGACACGTATTATAAGACAAAATTCGTGAAATTAATTTGTTTGAATATTTGATTTCAAGTTTCTTAAAAGTCAGCAATTTTCATTTCTCTATTAGAAGATATACAAAATTCAAAATTTTATTTTTGATAACTCATTAATAAATTTTGTATTAGTATTTTTCTGATTTCTCATATACATATATACGTTTCTTTTCAAGAATAGATGATCTGAGAATCACTCTGTTCTGCAGCCATTGAAAAGCCTTGTCGACCGATAAAATATCGGCCTAGTGGTTTTGTGTTCAACAGAGAATGCCGTTTTGCAATTATTATAAAATTCGTGTTTTGTATGCACCAGTTCGTATTTTTTCCTTTTTTCTCTAGAAGAAGAGAAAAGGTAAAATGATGAACTGATGCAAAAGTTAATTCAACCAAAAAGAACTGATTCTGACTTGGTCTCAGACACATCGATTGGTTGTCTGTTTTGTTTGGCTAACGGATTGATAATCATGGACATAGGGAAGATTCAAACCTATAACGGCAAATTGTGGACATTGCCGACACGATCGTGGACATTGGCTACATAGTTCAATGTCCACGTTTTGTGGATTCAAAATAAAGTAACAGTTAAATCCCGGGCATGGCCGCTCTCAGGTTTCTCTCTGTATCTACTTACCATCAGTCTTGAAAATTAGATGCGTTATCCTAAGAATAGTGGATCTTGCATGTAGTTTACATCCACTTCTTCAGAGGGCAGTAGTGCGTGGCAGTATTTTGCGGTTACAAGTTAGGCTGTCGTGTCCTCTTTCAAGTTTCTCTCTGCTGAAGCTGAAGTTGGTCGCGATAGAAAATGGAGGTTGGTAGAAGTGGAACATCGCGAGTTTAGAGGTTTTGTGGACTCTACTTCGTCCGTCACCCGCTGTCATCAGTCACCTTTCCTAACCTCTCACTGCTTTCGCTCCACGGATGTCCCGGTATCTTTGGTACAGTGTAACTGGTGCAATAATTGATTACCGGTGATCTAATCGCGCGTGAACAATAACATGATGTCGCGGTCAGTGCGCGCGGAGACTCGTAGTCGTGCCAAGGATGACATTAAACGTGTAATGCAAGTAGTTGATAAAGTTCGCCATTGGTAAGTTTCCTGTGTTGTGTCGAAGGGAGAAAAAAAGGCGGATGAAGGAAATTACCAGGTTTTACGTTTATCATTTATCGCTTGTTTCTTGGAAGATGTTCTCATGGATCATACGGAGAAAATGAAACAAGTGCTTTAGTTTTGTTTCATTATCGGAAGAGCGTGCAATCGCATGTATGTACCATACGTGCAAGGCAGTTACTGATGTTCGTAGTTGAAAAATATCCGTTTCGAGTCTCAAAATTATATAAAAGCTATATAACAGAAGCTTTTAATCTGCTAAAAACAAATATTCGAATAAGAGCATTGTCAGTTCGATCGAAGATTTTATATCTGAACTTTGGATAGAGTGATAGAATTTGTCACAGTATAAGGATAAACGTATATTAAATACATTTTAGCTATGAAGGATTTTTCCTTCGTCTTTTATTGTACGACGAATGTTTTTACTCTTCTATAAAATTCTATAAAATTCGTTATTTATATGAAAATAAATGGATAGAATTCTGAATACATATATGATCACAGGGAAAAGAAATGGGTTACAATAGGAGAGACAACTATGAAAATATATAAATGGGTTCCAATCTCGACACTCGATCAGGTATCTCACTCAAGAACATGATACATGCTGATTAAAATTAAAGCAAATAATTAAGAATTATTATTTTATTTTATAGAAGAAAAAAGGAAAGACAGTTTCTGACAAGGAAAATGGTTTACCAAGAAAAGGAGGAATAGAGTCATCAAATTCTAATTTTGGTCTTACAGAAGATTCCAATACGTGTGAGTTTAGTTTTGATAATTTGTGAAAACTGTTCGTGAAGATTATTATCGTTGATTAATATAAAATATACATTTTTTCTGACACTAGGTTTCTCTACTGTTAGTGATTCTCAAGGACTGACAGATTTCTCTGCACATTTGGGCTTTTCAGAAGACTCGAATTCACAAAACAGCGAACCTGCACCTAAGAGATTAAAGACTGACTAATGTTTGATCCACAATCAGCATCACCGCCAATATGTTGAATAGAGATTACCATTAAGGAATCTATCTCTTTCGTGAACTTGCACTTGATAATTTTTACTTCTCAGTATGAATGGATCACAAGAAAAGTTTGTCTTATCTGTTTCATTCAAATTTAGTGAGATATAGATAATATATATTATATATACATACATATACTGTGACTGCAAATAGTATCGATCCTATGAAACGTTTTGAATTATGTATAATGGGGTTTATTTGTTTTATGTATGAATTTATTGCCAACTTGCCCATTGAATTTAGAAACAACAGTCGGCTAACTGAATAGAATAATATCAGGCGAGTGCTCAATCCTTTCATGTATGTATATTACTTTTACCTTAATATTTAAGTTTTAAATCAATTACTTGTATAATCCATATAGAATGAAGCTTAGAATTGAACTTTGATTACAAATCAATCACTCCTATACACTAAGTTATACGCGTCATCCCAAACAGTTTATTAAATAGGACTTCTTGTAGCTGCGTGCGTAATTCGGCTCGTAATTTTCTATTCCAAGTTCGATCCCAAGGACGCTCCGTATCGCGGTTTTTCAACACTGTTAATAATAGATTGATTAAGAAGGCCATTTTTTCAAATTGTTTGAAAATAAAAATGGAAATTTGAATTTGGTATAGTGCAGTATTCTCGATTCTGATGATCTATGTGTCATATAATCTTAACTGGATAGATTGAAGGCACATTCGCCGGCAAAAACTAGTAACATAAAACAGTTTATTAAATTCTTGTTTCCATATAATCCTTCTAATAGTGATACATAGTTTGAGAAGCAATTAATTCGTCAATAGGTTTTATGTTCAATCTTAATCCTCATTTTATCTCGGTTTATAAGTTGATTAAAGAATTAAAAGTTTTAATTAAAAGAATATAAGGTGATTGTAACCTGTTTCAAAACCAGTAAAATAATACATATGTATATGTTTCACTTCTAACTCTTTCAAGATTCTAGAGTATGAGATTGTAAAAGTGACTTCAAACATTGGAAAACGTTTGATAACAAAAGCGGATTGTACATTCGCGGCAATTATATAATAACATATATGTTATGTTATATACCATACCGCAATTATTTTTTTTTAACTATTTTTCTTACTATAATGATATATTGCTTCATCAAAGAGTATTCGTGCCAACTACCAGAAATAATTAGTTTTGGAAAAACAAGTGTCAAGTGCTGAAAAAGCATACCTTTACATTTATAGTTCACGCTTCTGATAGTCCTTTAAAATCATTGTATATATCTCAAATATCATTTTTCCTTCATCTATTGATTTTATACTATAGAAGAACTTGCATTCCTCTATGTTATAGCACCGTGACATGTACAAAGTAAGCTTGAGCTCATACGAATAAAATAGTTGATCTCTTAATCAGTGCATACTATCCATCGCTTAAAAATATTATAAAACATTTGTAGTATGTTTGTATAAAGACGTAAATGTTAGTAAGAATATCTTTATATCTAAAGATATTCTTACTAATTGTTATAGCGAGTATTCCAAAATGTAAAAAAGTACATGTGAATTGTAAGAATATCTAATTTGTAAGAATATTTTCACTTAAATTGTGTTTAACGAAATCAAAATTTGATGAAACAAATTATCAAAAGTGTAAAGAATATTCGTTATTTTCAAAATTTTTTTTAAATATATGTATATTTATGATTTTTTTTTTACAAAAACGATGTATATTTAATATTAATTTGGAGTATTTAAAAATCTATATACAACATTATATATGTAAAAAAATTCATTTATTAAAAATTTTATTTAATCACTATTACCAGGGTAATATTTTACCATCATACTGTACGAAACAACCGGTTTGTTTTTCTGTTAATGAGTTTAAGGTATCCAAAATGCAACTGACACTGCTGTTGACGTCCATTGGAGCGTTGCTACCACCCAGATCGGTACGCACCCATCCTGGATGTAAACATGCCACCAAAATCCCATCTGTTTTTAAATCGACACTCATCGATTTTGTCGCCGCGTTAAGTGCTGCCTGTTTTGTAAGTGAAAAACAATTTCGCAAAATTATTTCAAGTGTTTAACAATACAAGATATGTATTGATTAATTTTAGAGTATAATGCCTATTCTATAACAGTCCTATATGTAGTTGTAAGAATTGATTAACCAAGTTGAATATGAGGAGAATATTTAACTATGATTGATCAACTCTTACAACTACAATTTGGCTATTGCAAAACAGGCATAATGTAGGTTTCCCAATTTTGAAACTTAAAAATTTATAATTATGCATACAGTAATATAAGTGTAATATATTTTACAAATTTTATTAAATTCAATTATGCATTTTAATAAAAATGAACAATATCTTGAGTTTTATGGAACTGATAAACAACGTGATTTATTTTATTTTATTATTAATTTTATATTAATTAAAAAGGCATTAACTTTAGAGAATCAAAATGGCACTAATTTCAAGAAATTAAAATAACATTACACATAAAAAAGAATGAATACTAAATATGTTTTAATAAGAATAAATGTCGATGTGTCATAAAGAAAATTAAATTGACATTTTTGACAAAAAGATTTATAATTAAGTGAGTCCAACAGACCGTCAGTTCCGGAGGGTTAAAGTTTTACCTTGCTGCATCTGTAAGGATAAAAACCGCCGTCGTCATTTTCAGCAATACTGCCCAGGATAGATGTCATATTAATAACTGCTGCTCTTCTTACACTTAATCCCGTTTTATTCTCGGAATTTTTCGCAGCTATTTTAAGTAGTGGCAGGAAAGCCTTGAATCAATTATTACTCATGTTATGAATCGACGTTATTCGTCAATGTAACATTCATGAATCTAAAAGGACTGTAGGTGTACCTTTGTTAGCATAATCGGTGCCACGGTATTTATGAGAAAAGCATCGGTAATCTGCTGTTTCTTTACGAGGCCAAGACGCGTAAATTTGCTGGAAATACCGGCGTTGTTGAAGAGAACGTTAAGACCAGCGCCATTTACTCTTTCATTCACCGTGTCTACGACTTTCTTGTATCCATCCGTATCCATCAAATCTATATAAAAAGACAGTGTAAAGTTTTTTCTGCGTAAAATCGATCGCGCACGATCGATGCTAAAATTTATTAAACTACATGTTTATGAAAAGTAAGTTCAATTTTGCACGATAAATATTTGATACATCTGAATCTCTTGTATTATACACAAGCATTTGTCAGAGCATGTGTTATAGCATATGTCAATATGAGACTTACTCACATAATGGCATGACACAGCACTCTTTATATTTTCTTTAGACCGTAATAAAATTAAAGAAATTCTGCTTCAATTTTATGATAAGATTAAATTAATTTATTTTTAATAAAATAATGATATAAATATTTTAAAACATATTTGATATCACATTAATTAAAATTTATAATCCTTTCGGAAAAAGACATTTGGAAAAATTCGTCATCTTGTATCATTCAAATATATATAAATAAATATATATATATATAATAGACTATCAAAGTGCTAGTCATGTTGCAAGAATTATTCACTTTGGCGTAATGCTAATTATAAAACAAAAGGCCGCGGCAAATGAAGCGTGCGAGGGAATTAAAAGAATTTGAAGAACCAGGCAGTTTTGCAACACACTGCTCTTATTTATTAAATTATTCATCAAGAAATACGAAGAACATGTGATGTACGTTGTTGTCTCGTTGAATGTTTTACATTGATCGACGAAATTATTACATTATACGAGATATGACGTAGAGATATTTCTGTATATTTTGCATGAATTCAACTCTTTCCCAGTAATGCGATGATTCTCATTATCACAGTTCAATGAATACAAGTCGCATGTCACTCCTCGATAAAGAATAAAAATTGATCTCGTTATCGCGTTCAAGGAAGGATTAATCTTTGACGTTTCTTAAGTAGAAAATTTTAGAATTAGGTGTTATCAGATAGTATGTATTGATCAGTATCGATCAAGCTCAGCAAAATGGCGTCTTTTTTTCTACAATAGGAATGTTCGCAACGTGTTTCGCTGTAGACATTTCGATTGTGTTCGGGTTTTATCATTTTTCTTCGTTTCGTATCTGTCTGGTGAACGGTCGCAAAGATGAAAGCACGTAAACTGAATAAGGCAAAAGCATGGTTGGTGTGTTGCGAAAAATCACAAATCGTCGATTCTGATTCGAGCGATCGAGAAGTCGAGGAGCGGAAAGCGCGGAATAAAGCGAAGAAGCCGCTGGACAATAAGGAAGAGGATAAAGTTGGGAATAAAACGGAGAGCGATGTGGAGAGTAAAGTGGAGAACATAGTAGAAAATCAGGTAGACAAGACGGAGGAGAATACAGTGGGGAGCAAAACGCAGGGTGATATTGAGAATGAAGTGGAGAAGAAATTGGAGAACCACAGGGATAAGATAGAAAATAAATTGGAGGTCAAGACAGAGGACGATGTTAAAACGGAGAATCAGACGGACAAAGTAGAGGGTACAGAAAGGAACGAAACGGAAGTTGATGTCTTGAATGACGTGGAAAACAAAGTGGAGAACAAAGTGAAGATAGACAAGACGGAGACTAAACTGCTGACCAACGCGGAGGACGATGTCAAGAACAAGGTGGAGAACAAAGTAGAAGTCCAGATAGACGAAGTGGCGAATAAAGCGGGGAGCAAAAGGGAGAGTGTTATCGAGAATGAAATGGAGAACAAAGGGGAGAACCAGATAGACGAGACGGAGAGTAAACTACTTGCCAAGACGGAAGGTGACATTGAGAATAACGTAGAGAAAGTAGAAGATAAAGCGGGAAGTAAAATTAACGATGATAATATCGAGAATAAAATAGAAAGTAAAGCAGAGAGTCAGACGGATCAGACGGAAAATAAATTGCGGACCGAAACGGAGAGTCATGTTAAAATAGGGAATCAAGAGGAGAACCAAGTAGAAAATAAAATGGGAAGAAAGGCGGAAGACGAAGTCGAGAATGTGATAAAAATCAAAGCGGAAAGCAAAGTGGAGACAGACATCAATACCGACAATAAGGTGGATAATGAAGAAAAGCAGGAAAATGTTCCTCCCACGTCACACACAAGTAAGATATCAGCATTTTTCTTCAACCGGTAATTTAAATATGCTTCTGTATGAATACTCAATCACCATAACGTATTCTTATCCTAAAATTAATTGTTTTCTTATGCCATTGTCGCATATGTTATTTCATCATCGCGCTATAACTGGTATAACCAGTATAACCAGTGTAATTTTTCTTTAATTTATGTGTACTTTTTTTAAGCTATTTTAGTCAATACATGCGGTTTACGAAAAATTTACACCGTTAAATTTGTGATCCGCAATCTATACTCCATAACGGAATAGCGAGAATTTTGGCTTACCTATCTCGATGATCTGTACGGTCGACGATTTATCGGCGAGCGCGCGTAATTCCTGTAAAGATTTTCGCTCATTTTTTTCTTCTTTCTATTCAACCGCAATTCGAACATGGCCGGCAAGATCCACGCGATTATCTCGACGATACTTTAATCAGACCGCATATAATATGATAGCGCGAAAAACCGACCCGTTTTTACCAATGTAGATTAATTTTAATCTCGGCTCAGCTTACCCTTCATCATTTTTAGTATTAGAAAAAGATGGAGAGTTAGTTGAATCGAGATTAAAATTAAATTATATGTAGAAGTAGGAATCGGGTTTATATTTCTATTAACGATGATGAATTTTAACTTAACTTTTAGTTACTCCAGTTGAGTATAATTCACATTTGCGATCTCGGTTTTTAGCTTCCTCTTTATCCTTTTCTAATTCGTAGAACTAGAAAAAATAAAAAGTGAGTCGAACATTAGTATAATAAACGGGCGTATATTGTAGAATCAGAAGAATAAGAACTAGAACATTAATTTCTATCAGTGTATGCTCTCTAAATTTTTTGGAGTAGAATCTTACTTTGATGTCTATTTCTATATCAATGTAGTTTAATACTTTAATCTCGCGATTTAATTCTTCATCATCTTCTAGTTATAAGAATTAGAAAAAAAGTAAGTTAAATCGAGATATTGAAGTTAATTGCAAACATTGGTAGAAACAGGCATACGTGAGACAACTTTATGTGTGTGATGAGAGTTAACTTGAAAAAAGAGCGGCTTAATTTTCAATCCTCACAATGAGATTTCACTTTTTAGAGTGACGTTCTCTCCTGTTTCTACCAATCTAGATTAACTTTAATTTTAATTTAACTTTATCTCTTTTCGGTTCTAAGAATTAAGAAAGGATAAAAAAAGATACGTAGTAAATTGAACTGAGGCTAATCTACCTTGGTAGAAATGGATATTGGTCGATCGGTTTGCGCAACGATATCGGAATCGAGGAGTATTGCGAGGTGTTGCGTTCGCTGATTCATACTTAGCGAAATTACGACGAAGAGTGGTGGAAGATGACGGAGGAACCGTATAATAGATGGCGGTGACGGTGACTTACAGTTACGAGGACGCGTTCGCCGGTGACGTCGCGGTGGTGTCAGTGTGATTTAACCATTGCTCGCATCGAGTTCGGTAATAAGGTCAAACAACGAGAGACTTTGACACTTCGACGTTCCACGTGTAAGATAAATTGCGGGAAAAATTTTGTCTTTTACGAAAGGAGCAAAACGAGTCGCGATGGCACCGATCGGTAAGTACCCACCGCGTTTCTTTCACAAAATAGGTAAGTTGCGTAACGCGTGAAACGATCGTGCTTTTGTAATTAATTCGGTTCGAACAAACGGAACGTACGCCCTGTATCCCATCCCCGCCGGCCTCGCTTACCGTCGCCTTGCTCGCGTCACGGCAAGTCGCGAAGATGTAGTCCGGTGGTCTCGGCGAGTCGACCAGATGCCTCACCAGGCCCAGGCCGAGACCGCGGTTGCAGCCAGTTACAAGGATCGATTTCATCGCGCACGGCACTTCCCAGGAAGTGCCGGAGGACCAACCAAGACCGGCGTCGCGGTAAACCGCGGACAAAAAGCGCGACGACACTATATTATCACGACGCGCGTCTCGAAGACGCCCTCACTCCTCGTCGGTGCGCAGCACGGCGCGTCACTGACGGCTGGCCGCTGACGTCACGTGCTCCGACAATCGTGAATTGCAACATCGTATGTCGCCGATTATCATGGCGACACTGACGGTGTTCGCGCGGCTCGTGTCATCTCAATGCGCGCACGCCAGGTTGCTCAGGTTAGCGGGTCGGCAATCGCTGCTTGCCGGATGCGACGCCGCCGGTCTCGTCTACGGTAGAAGCGCGATGGCCTGCATGTGCAGTGAGTGTGGTTTAGGGGGATGATTGGAGAATAATTGGGGTTGCGGTTTGTTATGTAAAAATTGCGTCACACCGGTTGGCGCGCAAACACGAAGGTCCCCCACGACTGTTTACTCTGATTTATGACGTTCAAGGATAACAGATTTTGACGTGTCCTCTACGCGATGTTTTTCTAGACGTCCATGAATGTGTTTGTCCATGAAAAACTTTTATTCTTTATAACACGTTGTGTAACACTTAATTTTTTTTTTAGAATTTACTCCGTTAAAAAATCTTTTTCTTCTCTCTCTCTACATGATATACAGATGAAATTATATTTTAGCGGATCATGGCTATGATTATGATCTCTTGGTCATTGGCGGAGGATCTGGTGGCTTGGCAGCAGCTAAGGAAGCCGTAGGACTGGGAGCGAAAGTTGCAGTTTTGGATTACGTGACTCCTTCTCCTCTCGGAACTACTTGGGGTTTGGGCGGTACCTGCGTCAACGTAGGATGTATACCGAAAAAACTCATGCATCAAGCTGCGTTGCTCGGTGAAGCTGTTCATGTATGCAAACATTCCTAACTATTACTTGCTTTCCATTTTCATCAATTCCGATAATATCATTCAAAGTCGTAATTCTCTCTCATAAATGCATGGTTCTTTTCATTCTGTCAAGTAAGAGTCAACTGAGTTTTTACTTACAATCTGTTCAAACTTGGGACTATATACTTTACTGATGATGAGTTTCGTTAAACCATGTTAAAAGAATAGGATTATAAATCTAAATTTTAATACACGACTTTCATGTCAGTATCATTGAAATAAAAATGGAAAGCAAATATTGTGATTAAAATGATGTAAATGATTTATGTCTAATCTGTGAATCATCTTGATTTTAGGAAGCAGCAACGTTCGGTTGGCAGTTGGATCCTAAGTCTGTGAAAATTGACTGGGAAGCCTTGAGAACCGCTGTACAAAATCATGTCAAGTCTGTAAACTGGGTTACTCGCGTTGAGCTTAGGACAAAGTTAGTTGTTTTTAATTAGTATTTTCTAATTTCTCTATTTATATATCAATTAATGTCCATATTATTCATCTTTATGTATTAATTTATGTTATTCATATCTCGCGTAAAGTACACGGTAATGTCGTTTCTCTTGAGCTATATTATTTAATTCTTGTTTACTCGATCTATATGTATTTATCTGTATTAAATATTCATCTGTAGGAAAGTTAATTATTTCAACGCTCTTGGACATTTCACGGACTCACACACAGTAGTTGGAGTTAACAAGAAAGGAGAAAAAAACATTCTTACAGCTAAAAATATTTTAATCGCAGTAGGCGGTAGACCTAGGTATCCCGATATTCCTGGTGCTATAGAATATGGTATAAGTAGCGACGATATCTTCAGTTTGGAACGTGCTCCAGGGAAAACCCTTATTGTCGGCGCTGGATGTATCCTTCAACTGCATTTTACGTGATTTTATTTGTCAGATTTTCTATTGTAATTATATGCGAATGTGCAGATTAAGATTCTCCTTAATAATGAGATATAGATATTGGTCTGGAATGTGCCGGCTTTCTTAATGGCTTAGGTTACGATACAACACTAATGATTCGATCGATGGTGTTGCGTGGATTTGATCGGCAAATGGCAAACCATATTGCCGATGAGATGGAGCAACGCGGTGTGAAGTTTAATTATGAGGCAAAGCTTAAGAAAGTTTCAAAACGAGAAGATGGCCGTCTTCTAGCTGACTGGATCGACAAGGTATGCATTTGTCGACGAACTTGTATGTACAAATGAAATAAATAAGTCTATATTAGAGTGTAATATAATATAATATTCTTAGGACGGCGAAATTCATCAAGACATATATGATACTGTTCTATTTGCCATCGGTAGACGATCGCTCACTCAAGAATTGAAACCGGAAAACGCCGGATTGAAACTTATTCCAGAAACTGGCAAGATTGATGCAGTTAATGAACAAACGAACGTTCCAAACATTTACGCGGTTGGTGATGTACTTCACGTAAGTTTTTTCAGTATTTTATAACGATTTTATCTCGAAAATATGTTAAAACACAATTTAAATAATTTTAGACATTTTTATTATTTTCATATTTCTCATATTAAATTATAATGTGTGAGTTAAATTACAAATATAATGGAAAATTTATAATGTATAATATAAATTATCTCTTTTGCCTTTTTTTGCAGAAAAAACCTGAATTAACGCCTGTTGCTATACACGCTGGTAAACTGTTAGCTAGAAGATTATATGGTAATTCGACCGAGAAAATGGATTACACAAATGTAGCGACGACAGTGTTCACTCCTTTGGAATATGGTTGCGTCGGGTTAAGTGAAGAAGCGGCAGTTGCGCTCCACGGAGAAGATGAGATAGAGATTTTTCACGCGTACTACAAACCAACGGAATTCTTTGTACCCCAGAAGAACGTTGATCGTTGTTACGTGAAGGTTGTCGCGCTTAGACACGGCGATGAAACGGTGCTCGGAATGCATTTTGTCGGTCCTAACGCAGGCGAAGTGATTCAAGGATTTGCTGCTGCTATTAAGTATGGTTCAAAATAATTCGTCAATAATTTCTTCAAAAATTTCACTTCGGAACTTTAAAACTCATATTTCATTATATTTTTTATAGATGTGGTTTAACAATCCCGAAACTGAAGTCTACTGTCGGTATTCATCCAACTGTAGCGGAGGAGTTTACGCGCATACATATTACCAAACGTTCAGGCTTGGATCCTAAACCCCAAAGTTGCTGCAGTTAAATCGATATGCACGTAGCATCATCGTGTTTTTCTCGATTCAGATTTATACCGATTATTCATTAGGAGATACGCGAGTCGTACTCCTATGGCAGGGATCAGCTGAACATCTTTCGGCTGAAACAGTTTTTCCGCTCTTACGTAAGAAAGCTCTGAATTACCGCAGTATTACATAAAAAAACAGCGAAAGGATATAGAATCCAGAAAGAGAGAACAGATGATTGTAATCCGTTACGTCAAGTTAATGTGACTTTTTATACATATTATTTTTCTAAGGAATGCGCCTTATGTCATATGCGTTATCGACGTAAAAAATTATCGTGATGCTTATTTGATAGCAATAATAATAAATCACTATTAATAAAATGTTGAAGTTGTGATTTACATGATTGCTATATCTTCTAAAATAATTCCTTTTATGGACAAACAAATCTTGTTCAATACTCAAAGTAAATTTTCTATTTAAACAGAATTATTTATTTTACAATTAGTTTCTACATATGCGTTATCGACGTAAAAAATTATCGTGATGCTTATTTGATAGCAATAATAATAAATCACTATTAATAAAATGTTGAAGTTGTGATTTACATGATTGCTATATCTTCTAAAATAATTCCTTTTATGGACAAACAAATCTTGTTCAATACTCAAAGTAAATTTTCTATTTAAACAGAATTATTTATTTTACAATTAGTTTCTTAAAAAAGAAACGGTAATAGCAAATAAATAATACAATTAGTCTTTAATACTTTTACCTTGAATTTTTAAAGTAAATTCTTTTATTCTTTTTACCTTATGTTCAAAATAATAACATTTTATATAATAACCATCAGAGAGAAACCTGAGAGCGATTATACCGATCTTTTTCGTGTACCTTACCTCGTAAAATAATGTTTACGTTTTTGTGGTTCTCTTCCAGGCTATTACAGTGATTAGACAAGGACAAACAATTAACTTTGACCATTCGTTTTTGTTTAACTCGCGTAATAACATAAAAGAGTATAATAACATAACATTTTTGAATCCGCTCCAATACTTTCTTTCTCTTCTTTATCCTTTACGAAATTCAGAAGTCGATCATTTACCTATTGTAACTATTTTCTCTATAACAGAAATGTGAAAAGTGAAAATTGAGATACGCGCGCGCACGCACACACACACTTTTTTGTAGTTGGTACAATTAAAAAATTTTATATCTTTAAAAAATACATGTGACGTTAAGTTAAATAATGCATTTTAATGATATAATTATAGAAAGAATTGTAAAATTACTACTATATATTTAGTTAGAATAGAAAGATCTTTCAATAAAAATACACAGAGATATATGTATACCACTTACGTTTTATTTTATGAAAATTAAAGATAGTATTACTTGATTCTTATTTTTTATTTAATACAATTTTTTTATGTGAATATACTTATACAGAGTGATCTTATGCGTTCGTATATTGTTATTAATAATGTTCCTTACGATTAGTATATCATTGAAATATTTTATTACCACATGTTAAAATCTCCGATATAAATTAAATATTACTGCATCGTGATAAAACTTTTTTGTTATTTCAATGCCACGTCAATTATATCAGCAAAATAATTAAAAAAAATGATACAGATGGAAACTAATAATAGGATACTATAATGATGACTTGTAGGATGTCGTAACATTTACTGTGTGATTTTATAATTGCATCAAGTAATTTCCTGAAAAGGGAGACAATAATGTATGCTATCATCTTATCATCGTTTTATTATTTAATTAGATTAATTTCTATTATTTTATTAAAAGACGAATCGGGGAATTTACCAAGCCTCAATTACCTATGAATCTTCTATATAAATATATAACTTGTAATGAATAAATAGATGAATGCATTATAAATATAAGTATATAAGGCATGTCACTTCTACATGTATCATTTCACAACTAGCTTTACTACGAAACAGTGCAGTTTGTATAAGTAAGCATTTAAACGAAATAAACGATTGAAGTCGAAAGCAAGTAATTTACAGGTATTTAGTCAGTGTACTCAATTATTTTTTATCAATATTATACCCTCTTATCACTGATATTCAATCGAGATTTGTTAAAAAATTTAAATAAAATCTTAATGTGACAAATATTGTAATTACAATATATGTAGTATAGTTTTTGATACACTATATTTTGAAAATATAGGATTATCTTGTCAATGATGCAAAAATGTGATACATGTGTAAAATATAATATAAATAAATAGAGTTTTAATGAAAATTTTATGATATATTATGTATACAAACTTAATATATACAGTGTGACAATTAACTTTCTGGATTGAGGCCGTAAAAATAATAATAATGTTAATGCGTATCAACAAAAATTTTCTGTCAACAAAAATGCTATTAATATGATTCAATTTTTAGTTTAAATAATAAAAAAAACCGATGCTAAATAAACCTGAAGGGTAGAAACATTGTTCGGAAATAAACTATATTAAATGATAACATTATAAATAGTTTTGATCTTTTTTTTTATTAATATAATGTATATGGTTTTAATTCGAGAACTTAATCGTCACACTATATGTGTATCATAATTAAAAAAAAATGTTTTTACAAAAATTATACATTAATGAAAATTTTGAATAATCTACAAATTGCTAAACTGCAAACGCACAAACATTACTGATAACTGTAAAATCTTAGGACTTAGAACACACTTGTTTATTTTATAGATAATTTTGAAGTCATATAAATAATTTTCCGTACATAATCTCTTTCCTTAAATTTTCTATATAAGTAATTTAAGTGTAAATAATCTTATATCTTAAAATATAATAAAAATCGAATATTTATAAAAAGTCTTACTTTTAAGTAATTACTTAAATTAGAAGAAATGAGACATGACAAATATATAAATTTAATTCAGCAATGCAATAAAAATTGCTCCACTTTCTGAAACTAATAAGAAAACCTAATGCAAATGTAAGTAGATAGAGTGGGACTTTAAAATACTATAACTTACTAAGGAAATAATTTTGAAGACACGAATTATACTTGCACGTTATAATTAAAGAGCAATTCAAGCACTTTTTACTATGCAACGTTGTCAGAACATTACAGTTGTACACGCGCAACTATTCAAGGCCATAGATTGTGTCAGACATTTTATGTGCGTTTTTATCAATGCATATTAACTTAATAATATCTTGGTTTAATTTATTCTTTTTTATCAATATTGATAAAAAAGAATTAATTTATCTTTTTCTTCTTCTTATTATTAGAAGAAAAAAGGTACAAAATAAGTTAATTGAGATGGTTTTTCATTAATATTTTTTATCAAAGAAATTTTTTGCACAATTGCAAGTCAACATATTTACAGAATCTCAATGCAAAATACACTATTTTATTATTTAATTATAAATTATCAAAAAAGGAAAAAGGAGAAAGTTTTCTATTGCGTTTTTAATTGAAGCAATGTCTTTAAACAAGAAATGCATGCATCTTAAATACAGAAAAAATGATGTAAAACGAACAAAAAAAATTCGAGGAAATGGCGGAAGATAGTGAAGGAAAGAATGAAAAGATTAAAATGAGTGAAGAAAACTGATTGGAAAGGCAGAAAGAGAAAACGTGAATAAATCTCGCCGTAAACAATAAGTTATCGCAAAGAATCGTTTTTGTATTTTGTGACACTGCGGAAGAAAAACAATGATTTGTCGAGAAAATTTTTCAACCCTAATTTTAACTTCAGGAATGGCCCTAGAAAAATGGTTAAATCTATGCTTCGTGGAGAAGATCCTGCGAAAGTCAGAAGAAGACGATTCGATTCAGGTGATCAATATATCTTCAAAACCGGCCACGGACAAGGGTGACAACTATCTTAGCGACATGTTCAGGATTACGGTTGAATTTTCACGTAATAAAGGCGACCGTGAGAGTAAGGAGAAAAAATCAATTATTGTCAAACTTTCGCCTATACTCGAAAGTGTTCGACAAAAATTCGTAAGTTGATTTAATGTATGCATTTTTAATATAGAGATGATATAAAAAGAGTGAAAAGGAGGCAGAGAAAGGGATATATATGTATTAAACTGTATAGTACGTGAATGATTTTATATTATTTCGGAGTAGATTTTTACTTAACGATTAACATAATTTATTTTTGAGTAATCAGTGAATAAAAATAAAATCAGTGATTGAAAACAAAATTATTTTTATAAATCAAATTCAAATAAAAAGCAAATATATATGTATTTTAAAATGTAGATTGTAACAAGGCTCAATAAATTTAAAACTAATGGAGAGAAACAAGGCTATGAGCAAATAAATTCGTTAAATTCTTTAATTTATTCTAATATAATACGAAGAATATCACTTGATTTTTGGCGTTTCGTCCCGGCTTCCACTACTGGACTCATCGGTAAGGCATTGTAGTGGAATATGTATTTTATTTTATTTAAGAATTAATTTTATTAATAGAAATATTTTTCATTTGTTTTAAACAAATTTTAATTTGTGGAACAAAATTATTATTTATTTGTCATCAAGAAGCTAAAAATTTCTACTACACAAATTTTATTTAGACCTTTATATAAAAAATATTGCATGCGCTTGTTAGAGATTAAAAGGTATTTATTAATTCTAAATAAACTCTCTTGTTGCAGATTATACTAGCAGGTTATTTTCACACCGAAATATCAATGATGTCAGATACCTTAGTTAAAATGAATAAATTGTTAGAGCCTAAATATCGTTTAAGCGGGAGAAGCCTATATGTACAAAGTGAAAATCCAACGCTTCTCGTGATAGAAGATCTCATGTCTCTTGGCTTTCAAATGGCCGATCGTTTATCAGGTCTTGATTTAGCTCATTCCATATTAGCGGTTCAAGGACTTGCCAGGTTTCATGCAGCCTCTGTCGCCATATGCGAAAAGGTAAATCACCCGTGAGTCAGTTGTAATACTGTAGTTGTTAAGGATTTAAGTCAATAATATGAATCCTAGAACTATCTCAGGAATAAATCTTTAGCATTGACAAGCAATTTAATATTAAAAATATAAAAGATATATGTAAAATATTTTGATATATTATTTTAACTACATGAATATCACACTACTATAAAATTCTTTTACGCTATATTATTTAAAATTTTTATCAGAAATATTACAAGCAGTAATTACAGAGACATTTAAAAATTTCATATAATAGACAATAATTTGAAGAGACAAATATTTATAATTTTAATTGCTACAAATATTGTTAAAAGACAATTTTATAGAAAATTTTAGAATTCATGTACTTAAAAAAAAAGAACAATTTAAAGTA